TTTTTATACTATTATATGAGTAAGAAAGAAAACGCTCATGCGCTGTCAATCACGTGGCTTTCCTGCATAATCTTATCAACTGCATGCCCTACATTTATTTCATGAAGAACTGAATAAGACGAAAATGCGGATGTGTAATTGTGATATTCTCGGGCTCATCGCCCAAAAATATCGAATTTTTATCTTTCTTTTTTTTTGAGTGTCCAAGATCAGCTTGCATGAAAAACGAATTCAGCCACAGCAATGCATATTAGACGGTACACAAGCTCAACGCTTTAAATGAAAGTACAAGGAACGCGACTCAAAGCGCAGACGGTCGCCAAGCGCGAACATCATTTCAATGGTAGATTGCGCTCTTATGTCAAGTAATAGTAATGTGTAACAATCTTCGCGCATCCGTTTACCAATAGATGGCATATAAATTACTAATAGGCAAGAGTCGGTGCGCTTTTTATTCGCCGACAATAAGCTCGAGCCTCTCGGAAAACGCGCCGCTGCGTGCATCATGCATACACGCAGCCAGTCGCCTTTTTCCACACTAGTGCGTTGAAGGTGCTGCCCCCGATAGCCAGATTTTGGAGCGAATATTGATCATTGAAAGCATTATAAATAACAGAGGAATCACTAGTTTCCACACCGTCAATTTCAAAAACATTAGTAGTCACAGGATTAGGCGAAATTAAACTCCATAACCTATCGGAACCTCTCCAGAACCTCTCGGGAGCGAATATTCTTGTGGGTTTCGGGCGACGTAGCTGAATGAATTCTCGAGTCGACATTGCCGTGTTTTGAAAATATTTCAATATCAAGGATAGTTCAGTCGATATAATCGTGTTGGTGCATACCTATGTTTGGAGCTTTATCACTTCCTTGCTGCACTAGCTATAGAACGCAATGCACTGTACAGCTCTACCAACTTTAAAGCAACAAGACTTGCTATTCACAGCTAAGCCCCTTCAGATTTTTTTTGTACGCTTCCCCGCAATACGTACATAAATAGCGGCAGAGGTGATGACATGTATACATGTCAGCACCTCATTTTTTTTTCTATGCTTTCATATTTGAAGAGCAAGCGTGGTTAGAAGCAGCTTTAGTGTGGCGTCAGATCACAGTGAAATATGGGCAACGTAAACTAACGAGACATATCGCTGCCAATATTTCAGTATGAACCATACCAATCACCCCGCCTATCAACTCTTCTGCAGACCGCATAACGTATAGACAGGCTCTCGAGACCGAATCGGCGCGGGTCTCACTATGCCTTGCTTGGAAGAAATAAAAGGCACCTGTTTCACGCCAAACCTTTGGTTAATTTAAGACTTCATCCCTATTTTATCTCACCGCAGGAGGTCCGTCATCGATTTCGCCGGTACAAAAGATAGGAAGAACAAGAAAGAAGGTAGGAAGGTTAAGCAGGGACATGCCCGGTTTGCTACCCTACGCTGTGGGAATAGCAAAAGGGGAATATAAAGATGAGAGAGAGAGAGAGAGAGAGAGAGAGGAAAAAATTGCCAGTGAATGTGCTGACGCGCATGCAGAAGGATGGCCATGAAACATCAATGGCTGGCAACTTCTGGGCCAAGTCTTGACTTTGCTTCCAGAAAAAAGTGAGTAGGCCAATTTTCGCTCAAAACTGTTTTATTGCTGCACACAATGTTGTTCAGGGACAAACGTGACACGTACACATGATAAATGTTAAAGGGTGACGCTGAAGGCAAAAGAAGTTAAAAACATTTAAAACTGTAAAACGCATCACCACATGGGCACGCACACCATTTCATTTTAAAAAATATTCTAGCAAAAGAGACATTTCACAAAACAAGGACGTTAGCCGCTGGGAGCTGTGCACAAAGTTACAACCGTACCATAGTAAACCCGGTAAAGATGGAACGGGCGGTCTCGTTCCACTTGGAACACCCCTCGGAACGAGACACTGTGTTAGGATGTGGATGCTTGTACTTTGAATAGGAACATTGACACACGTGTGTTTTTTAACATGGTGCATCAGCCCAGTAAACTAGTTACCGGCACAAATACTAACCGCAAGTGAACACACTATGTACACAATTTGTCGTGTATCCCGGAGGTATTTGAGACACAACAAAAGAGGTTTACAATGGTCCTCTGTGCTGTTCAATACACGCACACGTTTGTGTAAAATGCATGTCACATAAAAGTGTACATGTGCAATACTGATGAGCCCTTGGAGCCTGTGAGGCCACCAATGTACAGACACTTTGAAATATAAGGATACTTCTTACATGTCAAGCGCGCAATAAATTAATGCGTATTTACAGATGAGCAGAGCTCAAAAATGACTAGAAAGAACCCGCAGACCACTCACATTTTGCATTGGTAGTCATTGAGATGCACTGACTCGTGCGCAACTCGAGGGGCGACTTAATGGAGGTAGCAGTAATCTGAGAGAAAATATTCGTTACGTTCGAGTGAATCTAGTAATTATTGCAGCGAAGGCGTAAAGTTAACACTGCCAGCGTTGCAAGCCATTCTTTTGCATTGGCAGGGATAACGAAATGCACACCTTAAACCCAACCCTGACATACTGTTAGTTAGGGGAGCTTTGATGGTGCAAGAACGACTAAGGCTACAATGCAACCTTCACGAGATGACGTTGTTTCCTTAGTGAATGCTGCATACGCTACGTGAACTAAGAAATCATGCCAGTCACACCTTGCAGCTCATTACAAATAGGGAGTAGTTATGGTTTATCTTTGCATGGCACATATGCGAGGGCGTGAACGGATCACTTCAACGAAGCATTCCATAGGTTATAACACGTGTTCCATTCACCAAGGGGACATCCTCTTATCAGCCCCACTTAGTTCCAAACCTCCAGTGGAGTGTACCAAACGGAACGCTAATTGTTTAACCCGCCTGAATTTCACTTGATCAATCTGTGTCTGTCTTCTGGAGGACACCTGCATGCCTGTTACCCTTTGCTGCCACTGACTCAGGTTTTCATTTTTGTGCAGGCCCAGTCTAACAGCGAATGGTTGGACCAACGTTGGGTTGGACCAGGTCATGTCAGGCCTCGTGAACACCCAGGTAAACTTTTAACGAGTCCTGAGGCTCGAAAAAGGGCTGATGCAGGCCTCTATACCGCTATGGGATTAACTCAGTTCTCCATTAAGTGCATGAGTAGTCTAAAATTCATTGATGCGTGTGGAACCAATGTTCATCGACCCAGTGGGCAGTATACAATGTGAGGTTCTGTTGTTTCAAAGAGTACGCTAGTAACTATAGTCGGCATTTAGTAAAATGTTGCATACTTTAGACACCGTGGGCGTCGGGTATGAACGACAAGCGGCAGCAACCTTCGTTCGCAATATAACTAACTGCACGTTGTAATAAAACATGGGGCGCGAAAAGAAAGGTGCAACGTAAGTAAAAAAATATACACACGTGCACCACAAGGGCTCTCTCACGATTGAAAGTTTATTGCACGTGCGAAAAAGCCTATATCAAGCAAAAAAAAGCAAACAAAGACAATACACATATGAAGCACATATATACAGAAATGGGCGTGCATCGCACGTGTCATAACGAGGCACAGAAATCGAAACAACGAAGGAGCATATTCACAGTGAATGATTGTATGCAGTTGAACTTCTCGTCTAGTGACGATTGTTTGACTTGGACAAAGTACGGCGTTCCCTGTGACATGATGGGCCCCCAAAATTTGAAGAATGGATTACATTCGCACGACTGGCGATGCTAGATGAAATGATATGGCATGATTCAATGAATTTCGATCGTCTCTGATGAGACGTTAATACATCGACCGAAACGCATACAACAGAACGTGAAATGGCAATTCAGTTAACAACTCATGTACACAACAACCAAGAAATACAGTTGCCAAACATCTGACCGCATTTTTCTTTTCACGTGGAAGACCTCCGTGACATTTTGTGCTCTATGGAACAAATTTGACTAAATTAATTTGTCGTGAGAAACGCAACACCTACACCATATTCCGTGTACGACAGGAATGATCAGTTCTTGAATCCTGTCAGTGAGGTCCCCAACACCAATTCATTGTTCTACTGTTAGTGAGACTAACCTTGTGTTCCGAAATTCTTTGGCACTAATAGTTATTATGTCTAATAGTATAAGTATGAATAAAAGTTTGTGGTGATATGAAAGTTAGCATGACGAATCAGTACTGCGTAATCTAGTCAAATGAGGCCAGTTTTGTTCAAAGGAAAGAGTATATGATGGACGCCCGTGAGGGTTCGGCAAACAGATGCAGTGATACGCAGCATAGCCCACCTTCGATCGATTTGCAGCTGGAAACAATAGTGTTCAGCTTATGTGCGCAAGTTTTTATCGAGTGGCGCACGCATGTAAGCATGCTATCACAACTCTTCTTTTAAGAATATGCGAATGCACCAGCACCAAGCTAAAACACCGGTATCGCTGAATAAAATTACAATTAAAAGACCCAGAAATCGGGCTCCGTAAAGTGAAACTTAAAAGCATGCATCGAAAAAAAAAACTGCAAATTATCGGAGCAAGAATACAGCGACTGAATTCTCTATACCCATCTATTCTTTTTCAAGCACGTTTAAAATGAGGCCACTTATTTGCACAATGCGTGGCTTGTCAGTTGATTAATCTGTATACGTATACTGGTATTGGGAACTTTTCAGAGTGCAACGCAAGACAACGGACGTCTGGCTTGTCCGCGCACCCCAGGGGCATTATGGGACTGTTTGATGACGGCACTTTCTCATTTTTTTTTCTTTTTCGTTCTTTAACTGGTTTTTTTTCTTAGTTTTTTTTTTGAGACTCGATCAAGGTGGAACATTACACCTGAAAGCGACTTTCTTTCGTATCTAGAGGTTTTCTTTTTTTAGACTCGATCAAGGTGTGGCATCGCGGTGAAACTTTGTACCCCCCCCCCCCTTATGAAGAACGCGGCGCACGCCTATGAACGCTATGTCAAGTGGGTCTGTCGTCGCTTGATGACTTCAGCGTCGAGGGGACCAGTAACACCGTCTGACCTGCATCCCTTGGCTCCAGCCACCACGACTGGAGTCTTGCGTGACGGTAGCAGCGTTGGTGCTTGAGAGTACACATCACAGCCCCCTACTGGTCTTGCAGGCTGGAGGCCATGCCCGAGCGCAGGGCTTGGCGCAGCAGCGACACCTCCGCGAGCGCCTTGGCGAGCTCGTACTGGAGGCGCGCGTTCTGGGTCTCCAGATAGGCGGCTCTGATGGCGATCTCGTCTTCCTTGGCCCGACGAGCGTCCCGGGACCTCTTGGCAGCCTCGTTGTTCTTCTTGCGGCGTTCCCAGTACGCCTGGTCCTTCTGGCTGTCGGGCCGCTTGGACCGTTGCCGCCCGTTGCGAATGGGACCGCCGCCGTCGGCAATGTCACCGTTCGGAGGCGAGAAGTCACCGCCGCCGTTCGCCACACCGTTGCATCCGTTCGTGCCAGCCTCGCCGTTGGACTGCTTCGTCGACCCGTTGGTGGCAGTCGCCGTCGACGAGTTGCTGTTATCCGGCGAAGTGCGTTCGCCATCGTCCCCACTGTCCGGGCGTCGCGTCGTATTGCCGTTGCTGAGCGACTGATGAGTGGATTCAGCGTCTGGCTGGCGCGTGGATGGCGTAGGAGAGGACTTGGTCTTGGACCGCCTGTGCGCGTCCTGGCGACCGTTCCTGGCACGTTCCGGCATATAGTGCTCGCGAAACGCCGCGAACTCTGGATCGAGCGACGGGTCGGCCATGGGGAAACCGGGTGTCATGGCCGGGGCTACCGACGGCAGGTACACGCCGGGAATGCCGCACACGCCCAAGCTGAGTGGTTCTCCGCGCTGGTACCTCTTGAAAGGTCGCTGGTACTTCGATGACGTGGGCGTGCTGCTGGATGGCGGGCTGGATCGGGTCGTCACTGGCGACATCAGCGACATGGACGGGAACGCCGCCTGCTGAGAGGGCGGCGGCCTGACCAGAGGAGGTGCCACCGTTGTATCGCACAGCCCGCTTAGCGTAGGCGATGGCATGGATGACACAAAAGGCATGAGGCCAAATCCGTTCGTATAGCCGTTCGTCACGAACGGGATTTCTGCGGATGACGGCGAAACGGCCGCTGCAGTGGTGGCCGCCGTGGACGTGCTGGGTATGACCACGATTGGATTGGAATGGCGAACCTCGGGAGCAGTCCACGGCCTGGGCAGGTCACAAGTGATGACGTCCAAAGAGTCGTGTGTCTGAGGTGGTGACTTGTCAGCTTCAGATAACGGCGGTGAAAAGCGGCGGAAGGCCACTTTGCTCTTGAAGGAGAAGTCCAGCGGTTGTTCGGTCGGTGGCTCGCGCTGCTGGTCGTTCGTGTCCGTGGGCCATCGGCTGTGACAGGAAGAGTTGCTGTCGGACGAGGGGCTGCCCTTGGCGGAGAATGTGTCTTCGTCGGCCCCGGGACTCTTCGAGCGGACGTGGTCGTTTTGATGCTCTCGCTCGTCGTGGCGGTCCATGCTGTCAATCACGCCTTGGGCCAGGTAGTAAGTCTGCGTCGAGAGAGCAACAAAGAACGTACATTATTGTCGTGACCCTGTGTGCGTTTTTTTTTTTCAAATTTTCAATAACCTGACAGCGCAGTGCAGTGAATGCAGATGCCGGCAAGGCATCGAAACAACGGTTCTATGGAAAACAAGTAAACAAGTAGAATTGTTTAATGTTTTTCAATGGTGCAATCGCTGGGGGATGGCTTTGAACTAAGATAAAACTGTATGCATGCGTATAACCCGGAAGAAAAATCCACTTCAGTATACTTATACACTAAATGAGTCACCTCTACAACAAGTTCCTGAGTTCAAATATTTAGGAGTAACATTCACAAGTAATTTATCTTGGAATCAACATATTGACAATATTTCCGCTTCCGCCTTCCGTAAACTGTCTTTCTTACGACACAAATTAAAAAACGCTCCTCCTGATGTCAAACTCCTGGCCTACCAATCAATAATCCGACCAAAGTTAGAATATGCATGCATAATATGGGACCCGTTCTCACAGAAAAACGTCAATAAACTAGAAAGAATCCAAAGAAAAGCTGTAAGGTATATATACTCTAAGTTTCGTCACACTGATTCACCTTCTGAGTTAATTAGAGCTAATGGCATTGAACTCCCTGAGTCACGACGGAAGAAATTTAGGCTTGATTTTCTTTCCCAACTTCTTCAAACACAAACAGCGCTAGACCCTACACAGTACCTGACACCCATATCGACAAGGCATACGAGACACCATCACCCCGGAACCCTAACACCTTATTTTGCACGGACAGATGCATTTAAATTTTCTTTTTTTCCACGAACAGTGAAAGAATGAAACCTTCTAAAAGACTCTGTTTAAAGATTCACTTTGGTTGATTTACTTTGTGTAAACTGTGCGTTGGGTGTGTAAACCTGTATGTTGAATTCTTCCCTTTTTCCTTTTCTACGTGACTCGAGTGCCTAACATGTACTTGCTACTTGTACTGTGCCCACCTGCTTGGATTTGTGAAGGTCTGCAGTATGCATTAAATAAATAAATAAATAAATAAATAAGACTGATGTAAGGTGCAAGAACAAACTAGAGAGAAAAATGAACGCTCGTCTATGCACTACATCAGGCACCACCTTTATATAGAGGCTTTGCGTAGAGGGTGCGGCTTTAAAGCAATAAGTGCTGGTAATAAATGCGACGCATCGTCTAGCGAAACATGGGCACATCGATCATTGCCATCCATCCACCCACTCACGTCCTATAGTGCACTCATGGTCGTCTTCTTAAAGGGGGAAGTGATTTTAAGCGAAAAAAAAAACAAGAAAAGTGAGCCCCGTAACTGTCTCTCAGGAAGAGGACATCTCAACAGTAGCTCACGAGGGTAGAGAAGGGATTAAAAGGATAGGATTAAAAGGTAAATAGATAGAGAGAGAGGAAGGAGAGAGCGAGACGCAGGGACAGCGAGCGACGGAAGTAACGACAAGATAGGAAAGACGGACACGGTTGCAGGAGTCCGAGGACGGGGCACCACTGGCGAGAGCTCTTGTCGGCGTCAGGAGATAGCGTATACAGGGCAAGTCCAGTAGGCCGAAGCTACGCTGTCGTCGAAGATCGGCGTCAGGAGATGGCGTAGGGCCAGCCTGCAGTCGACTAGAGCTACGCCGACGTCGGAGATCGCGAGGGCACAACCGGTCGGCACGAAATCCAGCGAGCGAGTCGTCTTTTTAAAGGGACACTAAAGTGATACGATGACTTAGTTTAGATTAATAAAAAGTACTCTCAGAAGTCTAACATCACAAGTGTAATCGCCATAAGTTTAAAATTAAAGGAGAAAATCGAGGTTAGGTTCATTTTGAAATTTCGCACTGAAAACATGGAACGTGGCGTCACCGAGTTCTATATGTATTTTTCGTATTTTCGCGACATTGGCTCAGGGAATCGTTTGAAGCTTCGTATGATAAGTGTGTACGTGGGACCCACAGATGACATTGTACCTCATTTTTACAGTTTATGAAATTACGTAAGATCCAGCAGATGTCAAAATCTTTCACATAAAGCTTGTTGTTGGGCTAGTCACATTGCAAGATATTTAGCGCAACCTTGTGCTCGCTCGAACGGTTACGACGCGAGGACCGCAGATTTCGCGGTGAACACACCGTCACGCTATCGATCGCGCGCAAACCACCACCTCCTCCTTCAAAGCCCTTTCAGACGCTGCTCCCATTGGAAACCGGTCGCGACGAATCAGAATCGTGCCACAACAGACCCCGCCGCCAATTGCGACACTCCCTTTGGCTTCTTTTTCTATTGTGTCGCAGCTAAGCGCGGGGTGTCTGCGGGAAAGCATCTGGCAACTCTGAGCCGCCGCACACGAGAGTCGCGGTGAAAAGAAAAATGTGAAACGGGGTGGAGCTTTACGTAACATCCCCGTCCGAGGAGAGATCCCCCCTCCTGGGCTGTTTGCGAAAGAGGCGTACCTTGCGATTGGTAGCCGCGAAAGCCACTCGCGGTGACGCAACCCGCCCGACGATCCCCACCGTATATGCTCGTTCAGCATCCTGTCTCGGCGGGCGGGCGGCTGAGTGCGCGGTTTTAAAAGAAAAAAGAAAGATGCGTTACAACTTCGGGGGAAAAAAAAAAGACAGTTCCACCCCAGCCAACGCTGTCCCTCCCACCAAAAATTTATTAAACGCTCCATCCAATAGCGCTTACTCGTTCTTGTGACGTCAAGCACTGCTTAACGTTACAGGTGGTTAATTCTCCCGATAGACACGTTTGTGTTTGCTGGTTCTTATGTTGGAAACGTGAAAGTTGCGATAAATATTGTCACGGAATTCCACATCGCTTCTTAGTCAAGAGCAGGGTTTTCAGCAGTAACGACTAACCTTTGAATTACAATACGGACATCTTACAATATGAATTACAATACGGAATTACAATATGGAATTACAATATGGAATTACAATATGAATTACAATACGGACATCTCAGTATACGTAGTTGCCTTATGCCGAGAAAAAGTGCCTACTCTTCGAGCACTAACCAGAAAGCACGACTGCTTTTGGGAAGGGCAGGTCCAACGCGGTTTTGTAGGCGGAGCATAACACTTGTTTTTTTTGATTCTTAGGTTGTAACCAAGTGTAGGCGTTTAACGTGGATGGTATAGTTACGTTTAGCGAGGATGGTTATAGGAGAGCAGGCCTTACGACGCACGTAAAAAAAAAAAAAAGAAGTACTGCTATGAACGAGTAAACATCGTGGCATAACGTCAACCCACTCAAAAGGCTCGGCTGTTGCACTTTTGATTGGTTGTGGGAAACCAATCGAAAGCCATCGTTAACGCCATGCTACCCACCCATGTTATCCACTCTGTAAACGAGGAGTGTCGGTTAGTGCACCCCGTAAAATCTCTCGTTCATTAGCCTATTATATTGGCGAATGTATGAATTCGTCACTCTGATAGTAATTTAGTTGAAGCGAAGAATTCTGCTGCTTACCACGGTGGTGATTGTTTTTCAATGACAGAACGGTCATAAAAAATTCCATATATCGATATATACAGGCTTGTTGTGGTGCATGCAAGTAATGTTTGGCATCCAATAATTCTTCTACACCAGCGGTTGTGTGTGCATGACGCATCGTACGACTTGCTGCAGGACCGTTCGAAAAATTAAAGCGTTCAGGTGACAAAAACTGGAAGTATAAGCGCAGTGAACACATTTACCGTGACCCATCGAGAACGTGAACTGAGCCGGTGGCGCCGTGGTACGGGAGTGAACGAAACGAATTTGCGTGCAACGCCGACATATATGAGCGGAGCAGTGTCACGTTGTTATAGCGGTGCTTCGCAATGGGCAATGTCGCGTATAAATCGAGGTGTGGTAAAGTGTACCAATGATTACGAGAACTCCGCACTCGGTGACGCAAACTTCTGCCCTTACACTTTGCTATCGGGAAGTGGTCCTATCAACGCCCGGCGTCGAATATAGCCAAAACAAACTCATGCTAAGTATTCTTTTTTCATCGTCACTAAGCGGGCACATTCGCAAATGATGTGGGCAGAATCAGATTTGGCTGAAGTATTATTTAGTTCAAGTTTTTTTTCGTCCTTTGCACGACTGCAGCTGCGTTGTTTGCATGCAGCAAATGCAGTAAAAATAACAGGTATACGTGAACTAAACCGGTGTGTCCCAGTTAAAGTTTCTCTTTACGTGTGGATTAATTATTTGAACTTTTTTAAAGACGATAGTCTTTCTTGGGGCCCTTCGACGCAAAAATTTTGGTCTGTCTATCTGTCTGTACTTTTGTCTGTTTGTCCGCCCTTAACGGTATCCTAAACGGCACCAAAGCAACCAAACGATACTCCAAACGGCCGACCCCATCTGCAGCGCCCACCAATATTGCTCAGGGTTCAGCGTTCATACTTGTGTGATTGTCAATTGAAAAGCAATAATTGCGCATATCTGAGGCACCATAACAACACGTCAATATTCTGTATGCGCGTCTCTTACTAGCAAAGGCATGAATAAGTCATTCTAAGGACCATGGCGTTTATCACGTTGCGCTGACCAGGCAATGCTTGCACGAAAAGGCAAGCGTTTCCAACGCTTGCCTTAGACGACACGTTGGTGGCACCTACCTGTCGCCTTGCGTTCTAAGCCTTATTACCTCTGAGACGGGTGCGCAGGGCGCGCACGCTTCGTTTTGCAAGATAACTGCCAGATAGCGCTCGTGTCTCACGTGTGACGTGACTCCGCTGCGCGCTCGAGGCACTCCAATGCAGCGCCTCCAGAATGCCATTCAGCGATTTTCTTGCGCAGAACATCAAATAAACGTTTTGTTCACTCTCCCCAGTCCAAAGACTATGGTCTTTCGACGAAATTTGCAGTGTAACTTGCAGATACGGGGCCAATTTCTTTCTAGTTAGAACAAAAAGCGCTGAACAAAGACATGGTAACCCTAGGCAAAAGAAAGCTAGTTTTTTTTTAAATCATATTTTCTTTGGAGAACATTACCAGCA